TTTAGACAGATTTGTTCATTGCCCCTCTCAAGTGCCCTCTGAGCTGGGGGCCATTATTCCAGCTCCTCTGTGCTTCCTCAGTTAAACCAAGGACCTCAGCTGCTTCTCCCACTTGGCCAAGCAGGGAGGAAGAAGCTTAGGCAGGGCCCTCCTTCCTTCTTGCCTTTGGATGTTCTCTCTCAGGGGCCGGTGTCACGAGGGAGCATAGAAATCAGGTGAGCAAGCAGTTGGCTGAGGGAGCGGGGGACCCACCAGAGCTGTGGAGAGGGCCCCCAAGACTCCTCAGCCTGGCTCCTACGCACGCGCCCTTGGCGAACCAGGAGCTGCTCATACCTCCTCAGGGATGGCCGTTGGCCACGTCTTCCTTCTACTCGACCTTCCCCCTGCCACGGGCCCTTTCCTCGGGCAAGGTCTGGCCTCAGGTGGGCCATAGGCGGAAGAGCAACCCTTGGCCAGAAGTCAGGCCCAACCACATGGAGCCTAGAGCTGGGGCCACCGACTTCTCCATCCTTTCTGCCTCCCAGCATCACTTGAGTCCCAGGGCCTTGGTTTTCATGTTTTTGAAACAGAACAATAAAGCATATGTGTTAGCTTGTTATATAATACCTCTGGCCTCTGTAGGGGTGGAAATGGGAAGTGACTGCTGGACACGAAGCCTGGACCCTTAGTGCCCCATCACAACCTTGCACAAATAGAGATTAATCTTATATTGCCACGGAGGTAGAGTGAGGCTAAGGAACTTGCTTCAAAACCCAAAGCTACCCCGGTAGATTGGGGCCACACTTCAGAGAACCCCGAGTATGGAGAACGATTGGATCCTACCTGGGTCTCATCATAGGTGGGAGAGGAGCTTTGACGGGCCCAATGAGTAGCCAAACACGAGCGGTGCACGCTGTGATCAGGAGGTAGGGGGGTACCCAGATGGAGCTGGGGGTCCTGGGTGGGAGCAAAGGCAAATCCAGGATGGTGGTACAGACACAGTATTAAAAATACTATAATGGAAATGTGGAAAGAAAGAAAGGACAGAGCCAGCAACAAGAGAAGATTCAGAAAACCAGGTCTGTCTGCAGTGCTGCTGCCTCATTATTTCAATATAAAAGTTTTTTTTTTTTTTTAAATGACCAAAATGGGAAAAAATTACCTGGGAAAAAACAAATACTTACAATTAAATATGGATAAAAGCAGCTGGGCATCGTAGCTCACGCCTGTAATCCCAACACTTTAGGGAGGCAAGGTGGGCAGATCATTTGAGGTCAGGAGTTCAAGACCAGCCTGGCCAACATGGTGAAACCCCTGTCTACTAAAATACAAAAATTAGGCCAGTCGAGGTGGGTCACACCTGTAATCCCAGCACTTTGGGAGGCCGAGGTGGATGGATCACCTGAGGCTAGGAGTTCCAGACCAGCCTGCCCAAGTGAAACCCTGTCTCTACCAAAAATACAAACATAAGCTGTGCATGGTGGCAGGTGCCTAGAATCCCAATTACTTGGGAGGCTGAGGCAGGAGAATTGCTTGAACCTGGGAGGCGGAGGTTGCATTGAGCCAAAATCATGCCACTGCACTCCAGCCTGGGCGATAGAGACTCCGTCTCAAAAAAAAATTATTTTTAATAAAAATGAAAATAAAAAGGAATGACATTTTGATACATGCTACCAAATGGATACTCTAAAGGATTTTCAAGAAACATTATGCTAACTGCAATGATCCAAACACAAAAGGCTACATATTATATGATTCTACTTATATGCTTAATGGCTTCAGATCAGAAACAAAAAGTACAAGGGTGGTTGCTAGGGGCTAGAGTGGGAAGTTGTATGATGGGGACACAGCTTGAGTTTGGGAAGATGGAAAGAGCTCTGAAGATGGATGGTGGTGATGGTCGTACGATGTGAACGTACTTGATGCCACTGAACTACAATTAAAAGTGGTAAAGGGCCGGCCATGGTGGCTCACACCTGTAATCCCAGCACTTTGGGAGGCTGAGGTGGGTGGATCACCCGAGGTTAGGAGTTTGAGACCAGCCTGGCCAACGTGGTAAAACCCCATCTCTACTAAAAATACAAAAAAATCAGCCAGGCGTGATGGTGGGTGCCTGCAATCCCAGCAACTCAGGAGGCTGAGGTAGGAGAATTGCTTGAATTTGGGAGGCGGTTGCAGTGAGCCAAAATTGCACCCTTGCACTCCAGCCTGGGCATCAAGAGCGACACTTTGTCGCAAAAAAAAAAAAAAAGAAAAAGAAAACACAAAAGGCAGAGTGTGCACTGTATGAGTGCCAGAGACAGGGAAATTTAAAGCAACAGAAATTTATCTCCCAGTTCTGGAGAACAGAAGTCTGAGATCAAGGTGTTTCCAGGGTGGGTTCCGGTGATTCCCAGCAATGCTCTGTGTTCCTTGGCTTGCAGAGGTATCATTCCAATCTCTGCCTCTAGCTTTAGGCAGCGCTCTCCTTCCTGTGTCT